AAACAGGGAACGTCTTTCTCCAACAGCCAAGGGAACTATGCTTAAACAGATAGTCTGCCTGGTGGCTGAGGGTGAGAGACTGTCCTCTGTCCTGCAGTGTCAGGCTGACTCAGTGAGGAATGCTGTCACTCAGAGGGTCAGAGGAGTGACACTCCCTCCAGGAGCTGAGCTCGGAGTTTCAGAGTGACGTTGGAGTGTGGTTAGGACTTAGCAGGCATTATGCACAGGACAGCAATGATGTTAGTGGGGAGCTCCAATAGAAGGGGGTCCTAATGATGGACTGGTGGGAGACAGGAGAACAGTGCTGGAAGAGCACATTGGAGATGCGGTATGTAATGATAGGAGTATAGGGGGCAGATTCAAGATAATTGGCACAAAAATGGGGGCAGCTGAGAGGGGAGGGGAGACTAAACAATTTTAATGCTGTGAATTGATAAGATTGGGCTGGTATCATTGGGCTGGTGGATGTAGATTCAAGAAATAATTTTGAGAAGTAATTATCTGAAATAAATTGAAAAGGGCAAAGCCCTTACAAAGGGTTGGAATGGACAGGATGGGCCAAAGAGCCTCCTTTGTGCTGGGAGATCTTATGAAAAAGAGGGAATGTTTTAAGAGACAGAATTGTCGCGTATTCTGGAGGCGAATGGGAAGTATAATTACGAACAGGATGGGAGTGAGATGTGGCACAGCAGCAATGAAACAAGTCAAAGGAACTGCCCTGATCACAGCTTCAGAAAAGCAATATTCCAAACCGGAGGAGCCAGATTTATATCCTTTTTGCCCTCAGGATGTGTGGAATAATTGTGAGTGTGTTCAGTTGGAAATATAACAATCGAGATAAGCAGACATGGTGAATGTGGGGGAGCAGAGCAGAGAGAGATTATACTGTGCCCTTAAACAGGTCAGACTGAGCAGCACTGGGACAGACAGCATCTCCATGTACAAGATTATAGATTAAAGGTCATGACTCTGGCCTGACATTCACAGTACATGGTATTGATGATTCAATATCAGTCTGCTGCAGGGAAGATGCATTGTGAGTCAAAACCCATTCAAAACATACAGCCAGCATCCAGTCCTGTACCCCAGTGTTACACAGTAACACACAGCATCGCTCCGTCCTGTACCCCAGTGTTAAACAGTAACACACAGCATCGCTCAGTCCTGTTCCCCAGTGTTACACAGTAACACACAGCATCGCTCAGTCCTGTTCCCCAGTGTTACACAATAACACAAAGCATCGCTCCTTCCTGTTCCCCAGTGTTACACAATAACACACAGCATCGCTCAGTCCTGTTCCCCAGTGTTACACCGTAACACACAGCATCGCTCCATTATGAACCCTTGCAAAATGAAGCTGAATCTGATGTGTAGTTCATAGAAGAGGAAACTGAGGGAGCTAATGGCAGGTCAGCTACAAGCTGGGGGAGAATGATGGGGAGGGTGGGGAGACGGAGCAGGGAGGGTTGGAGCTGTCTGTGGCCAAATCTCCATTCAACAGGTGGCTTTTTCTGTGAAGCTGCGGCTGTTTGTAATTCTCTCAGTTTCGGTATGATTGAATTGCCTCTCTGAGTGAACCGTGTTCTATTTTGATATGAATTTCTCTCCCACATGAAGTGATTGAACAGCCTCCTGCTGCGCTGGTTTCAGTGAGAACCCTCTGGGCCAGTGATGAATTCTCTGCTTGATTTTAGACCGACATTGATCGAGCTGAAAGATAAATTACATTTTGAAATCTGTCCACTTTGCTGACAGGGCAGTTCAGGGCCCAGGAGTCTCGGGAAGAATAGGGATGAGGGATTTAGTCTTTCTCAGTGGTGGAAATGATCTTCCTGCCCTTTCTCCCCAACCCTTCCCACTGCACCTCGCTTCAAACTTGTCAACCATTCAGCCCATCCAATCGAGCATGATGTTTTGCTTAAGAAGCAAAGTGCAGAATGGCAAGGTCACAGGAGGGAGGGGGAAAGTAGATCAGGAAAGGGGAAAAAAGGGAGTGGGAATAGAGAGGGAATTGGAGAGGAGGGCAGGAGGCTTGTGGAGGGGGTGCAGACCCTGGAACAGTGGGAGGAGGAGCTCAGAGGGAAGTTGGGTCTGTGATTGGGGAAAGATTGGGAGTTTCAGGGATTCAAGGTGCAGGTAGTGACCTTTGTGGGGACAGGGGGTGTTGCATGTTTGGGTGTTTGTGGGGAAGGGATTAATGGCAGCTGTAGGGGTAGCGGATGGTGGATGGAGTGGGCCTTGGGTGGGAAGGGGTGAGAGGTAATGAGGTGTCATGGGGAGTGAATTCAAGTTGTTGGGGAAGGAGCAGGGCTGTATTTAGGAGAGTGTGAGGGGGGCACTGTGGGAGATACAGACACTAGAGGGTGAGGGAGATACAGACACTAGAGGATGAGGGAGATACAGACACCGGAGGGTGAGGGGGACGCTGAGGGAGATACAGACACCGGAGGGTGAGGGAGATACAGATACCGGAGGGTGAGGGGGACGCTGAGGGAGATACAGATACCGGAGGGTGAGGGGGACGCTGAAGGAGATACAGATACCGGAGGGTGAGGGGGACACTGAGGGTGATACAGATACCGGAGGGTGAGGGGGACGCTGAGGGAGATACAGCTGATCATGATAGTCACATTACCCTCTTTTGGTGCCTGAATGACTTTAGTCCTGGTTTCAGGCTGTGCCAAGCTTTAGTTTCAATAGCTGCAGTGTGTGAGCCCTCCTCCCCACCCTCGGTTCCATTGCCTTGAGAGGTGGTCAGGGTCACAGTGAGAGTATCCCTGGTGTTTTCCCTCCAAAGTGGCTGTGGATTTGGAACTTTTCTGTTACCTGCTCTGGGAATTCTGTGTTTTCTGGGAGGATAGGGAATGCTTATATTCCACTATAGTATAAGTTTTACAGCAGGCAGCTTGTTCTGGGGGGTCTTTATCTGTCCAACATTATTCATGTGTCTGTAAATCATGACCTGTGTGTGTGTGTGTGTCTGTGTGTGTGTGTATAGGGGGGTTTTTAACAGCTGAGATGGGATGTGTGTCTATGTGTTTAAGGGGATATTTAATAGCTGAGATGGGATGTGTGTGTGTGTGTAGGGGGGTATTTTGTGGCTGAGATGGGGTGTGTGTGTGTGGTTGTAGGGGGTATTTAACAGCTGAGATGGTGTTTGTGTGTAATGGGTATTTAACAGCTGAGATGGTGTGTGTGTGTGTGTGTGTGTGTGTGTAACAGCAGACAGGGGGTATTTAACAGCAGACGTTCTCACCATTTGCCCCCTACACCGCCACCCCCCCACCCCAGCACACCCCTAAACCCTCCTTTGCTGACCTACGTCTATCTCTGTTGAGCAACCACAATGGAGACCCAGAACAGAAAGCTGAGAACAGGAGCAAGGTGGGGAATGAAAATGACAGGACTGGGAGCTCTCAGGGTTACTGGGGTTATCCTTACAGGCTGAAGGGACATGTTTCTGCAAACATGGTCACGCCAGTCTGTCCCAGTGCAGGGGAGACCCCAGCATCAGCAGCATCGAGCATTCTGAAGTGAAGGAAGTCCAGCTGCCTGGTGGTTTGACCCAGAAAGGAGTGTTTGGGACCTTGCCTCAACAACAGGAGGCCAGGGGCAGGGGATGTATCTGCTCGCAGTCTGGATAGTTAGTAATCTGGGGTTTGTATCTGACACACCAAGCTACAAGCCTCAGTGAGAGCTGTACACAAGGATTATTTAATCTCTGGAGTGATGTTATTGATATTTAGGATGAGAATATTTACAGAGAAATCAGTAAGTAAACAGTTTACATTTCAATAGAGAATGCAGGATTCTGTACTGTCGATCACAGTTAGCTCTGGACAGTATACATACAACACTGAGGGTCAGTGCTGAAGTGAACTGTAAGGCACAACAGGAAGGTTAATGCTGGAGTTAAATCTTGAATTTAATACAATGAAAGTTTCACTTTTTAGTGTCTGTCAAACTCAGTTCTCCACGTTATGTTGTCCCTTTATCACAACTAGGCACATGTCCCTCAGAAAATTATTTCAATTAATGTTCATGTCCTGACACAAACCAATCCCTCATTCCCCCTCAACACTGACGATTACTCCCCCCACTCCCTATGGACACTGACCGATTACTCCCCCTCAACAGTGACCAATTACTCTCCCTCACTCCCTCCCGATACTGGTTGATTACTCTCCCTCAATCCCTATCGGACTGATTACCCTACTGCCCTGTCCAGACTCTGAGCCATTACTGTCCCTCCCAACGCTGACTAGTTACTCCTGAATCAGGAGCTGCTGCTTTCTGTTGTGTTCATTCACGGAGCCCCTCAATTCCCAGCAGCTGGAACATCATTCTCCCAGAGCCTATCACAGTGATGGGAAAAGGCTCCCTTGGTTCAGTTTCAGGGCTGTCTGTGTGTCGTGTTTTACCATCTCGATGATGCGGGTATGTGCTACTGGAATTGCTACAAATGAACTGTGTTATTCTGCGGCTGTTATCCTGAGTGCAACCTCCCTTTACATTCATTTCCCCCGGCATCCACACTGAGCCTTGGTCCCAATGGACCTCTCTGTTTTACCCAGTTGCCTTTGTCTTGTTTTCTGTCTCTGTTCGCTGGTGCAGGCTGGTACACGGAGCACCGCTTTCTGTTCCACTTCCTAACCTTTTCTTTACCCTCTCCTGGAACATAGGAGCTCTGGCTTTCAGGCTTGGAGCTCTGTGCTCCTGTGAGGTCAGTGTTTTCTCAGTGGTACCTGTGGGCCAGGGAGAGAAAGGGCACAGGCTGCCAAGGTGTCACAGGCTGAGATCTCCGAGGCCAGGAGCAAGACATCTTCCTGGCATCTGTTTCACTGTCAACAACTGGGTCCGAACCTGAAAAGGGTTTGCGTCTGGCAGCTGAGAGACTTGATTCACTTTGCAAAAGCAGAATCAGATGAAGAACTGGGCCTGGGGGAGAGCAAGGAACATAGTTTTCTGGAGGAGGGGCGTCATGCCTCAGTGCTGGTGCCATGGAGGATCTCCGCAGGTTCAAAGATCTGAGCCCTGATGAAGGTAAGATTGGAGGATCTGGGGGTGTTGAGCCAGGGAAGGCCTGTGGATGAAGGTGCCGGTGACCTATAACTGACCTTCATGAACCTGCAGAGTCACAGTGTCGGGGCCTATGTCAGTTGAACTTAGTTGGCGATGACGGTAGTTCCAGTCACCAACTCTTCAGATTTAGCTGGGAATCTCCAGGTGGTAAAGATCCCAGACCCTGCTGCAGGAAGGAACACAATGAGGTGCTGAAGAGAAATGGTACATGTCCATTCATTTCCCTTTCACAATTTCATTGACTAGTTAGACATGTATTGGAGATGGAACAGAAATAGTGGGCTGTTTGGTCGAATGATCCAGTTGGGTGACAATTTGCTTTCCAATTGGTAAGATGAATCATCACAAAGATGGAGACGCTGGACAGCCAATAGCAGGAGTTTAGGCGAGTGATTGGAGGCAGCAAGTCATGTGATGAAAGCCACATGAATACATCCAATTGGGGCGGGTGGCCCCAGCGGTTGCTGGGAGGTTACTGTTGATAGTAGTATCCTCAGACAGAGAAGCTAATTGGCATAGGGGATCCCTGATCCTGGGAGCTCTCCATTCACAACTGTTAAACACGTGTGAACGGTGTTGCCTAAAAACACGGCACAGTTGTCATCGAGAAGCTCTGACTGTAATAGTGACTGCAGGCAGTAGAGTAACACCAACAATATCAATGCAGTTGCATGCTATTCAGCTCTCCCAGTTCTACTGAACCATGGATTGTAAAAGATGCTGTGAGTTAATAGTAGGGGGAGGGGAAGCACTCCTTACGAAGCTCCTAGCTGCTGTTGATGGAGTGTCTGTAAAACTAGGCATTGTCACCAGTGCCAGGGACTGTTGGAAAGTGCACTGGAGTGGAGGCTGTGGCAGTACCTAGATGTAGGGTCTGGGGGTTTGTGAATAACCGAAAGGGTCTTTGCCACTGCCAGGACATGGCTAATTCAGACCAGGCGAATGGATCACAGAATTGGAAACAGTGTAATGATTTACAGCAGCGCCAGTGCCCACTTCTCAGTGCAGCAAATTGGCACAAAATGCCAAAGGAATCAGTACACGTTGGCCCCGTTGAAGAAAGCCACAGAATAAAGATCTCTGTATCCTGTCAAAGAGCAACTTTGTGTCACAGTTTTGGCCAATGCATTTTTTTTGTGTCCATCAATGGCTGGATTGAAACTGATGATTCTTTTCTTCCATTTGGTAATGACGATGAATGTACAAAGGTAGTAGAAATAAGGCTGCATTTAACTGGTGCATTGTCACACTGAAACTTCTCATGCATTCACAAACCACATCACGTTGGAGTGCAGCAGCTGTTTATAAGCTCAATGTAAGTACGGCAGGATCCTGGAATTAGGAATGAGAACAGATAACTGGCTCATGTTTTTTTGGTGTGTAATGTTGATTGAAGGAGGAAAATTGACCAGGACAGTGGCAGAACTCAGTGATGTAATCTAATCCTTTTCTAGTTGTGGTTTTTCAAAAACAGGTCTCCAGTTTAACATCTCACCCGAAAGGGAACACCTCTAAAAAGGCGGCACCCCCTCAGTAATGCATGGCAGCACCAGCCTGGAGTTACTCTTCAGCTTTGTGGAGTGGGTCTTGTACTCCCAGGGACAGGTGCTACTGACTGAATCATGACTGTACCATTGTGAAGGACAGAGTATTAAAGAGTCGGTCATTTAGGACAGAGATGCAGAGCGTCTGGAGTTCTCGATTTTGACCTTCAAGATGCTCAATCTTTGAGCATTTTTGAGAATGAGTTTGATTGAGTTTCGGTCACTAAAGGAATTTCGAGATTTGAGACAAGGCGAGGAAAGTGGAGATGAGGCAGAAGATCATCCCACAATGTTATTGAGTGAGAGAGCAGGTCTGAAGGTACATCCTGCTCCTGCTTCTCCTGTTCTATTGCTTGCTGGAGTGGCACGTGGACACCTCCAGAGGCAGAAAAGGCCAGAAAATGAAGGCCCGCTCTGGCTTTTCAATGTGGATCTCCTCCTTTTGAAAAGAGATTATTAAGTTGTTGCCACAGAAGCATCTGTGTTAAATTTAAAAGCCAGACTGAGCTAATAATAATGTTTATTCAAACAGGAACTGCAGGCCAGGTTGGTCCTGAGCATTCTGTGTGAACGTTCAAATCTGAAGGAGTGATAGGAATGCTCGGTAGAGAAACAATCTGCTCCATTGCCTTCAGATCAACAGCACACAGCGTGCGCCACTCAGTTGTAGCACAATACTCCTACTTGAAGCATTGACACAACTCCTACCTTCCTGTATTTTAATCCATTATAACATTGCAACATATTGTGTGTTAGATTTTAATTGCTACTCTAAGAATTTCCATATTTATTTTTACATGATTTGTATTTTTAATTGGTTGTATAATTTTATATTTTGACGTTTTGGTTTCCTGTTGCAAATTCCCACTAATTGTGATTTACTTGGTGCTTTTCCTCAATGTCTCTAAGGTGCTGGTTGGTTTGCTGTCCAGTGGGCAAAATCATGATTGTAATAATCCTTAACCTTCTTTTCAAATTCCTCTATGGCCTTGCCTCCTCACTATCCCCTGTAATTGCCTCAAGGAACAATTGGCCTGAATTTCTGCACTACTCCAAACTTTAGCCTCTTGCATATCCTCCATTTCTGCAGCTCACTGTTAGGGGACGGTGTTTTCAGCTGTTGAATCCTTAAACTCTGGAACACCCCTCCCAAAATCTCCCTGCGTCTCCCTTTGTCTGCTCTAATATACTCCTTAAAATGTCTTTAGCCAAGATTTTGGTCATCTATCCTAATGAGGCTAAATGTGAATGCTTACACTTTCTGTGAAGTGCCTTGCGCTGTTTAGTGTTTTAAACATGTTACATAAATGCATGTTGTAAGTTCACCTTGCGATGCAGTCGTAACTTATGTAAGTTAAATAGCCACTGGATATCATAGGACAGGTCCTTAAGTTAGCTAACCTCAAACGCCAACAGTTGGAGCGCTGCAGTTGGCTCGTGGGAGCAGGGCACTGGTTGGAATCAGAAGCAACTGAGGAAAAGGAGTGAATTATTTTTGAATGGTTTCTGTCTTCTCCCCCCATCCCCTGTCAACTCTTTCAATCATCTTAAACAGCTCACTCTGCAACACCCTCATGGTTTTACCTATTCAGCCGAGATATAATTTTGGGGCTTACAATTAATTTTCATGTCAGGAGATTGAGGACTCATAGAGGAGGAATTGTTTGAACCCAGACATTTCTAGCTGAAGTCTGAAAGAGGAGAAATGCCCGAGCAACAATAACCAGAACAGGATTGATGCAGTCGAGAAACAAGACAAGTTGTGATGGATACAGGGGGTACTCGGGGAGGGACACAGTGGGTA